GGGGCCAAGACGGGAGGATTGCTTGAGGCGAGTTCGCGTGGGCAAGCACGCGAGAAGAGAGGACTCCTGTTCATCTACAAAAAAAATTAAAAATTAAAAAGTGTATTAACAATGATTTTAAAAGGCAGATGGTATTGATGGAGAGAATGCTAAACCTATGACGCATAACATTAAAATGGAATATATTCGGCCTTAAGCTGGAAAGAAATTCCGTGAGTCACATGTTACAACATGAATGAACCTAACACATATGCTAAGGTAAAATTAAGCATCCACACACACAAAGGGAATGACTGATATGACTCGGTATTTATATGAGGTAGTGAGAGTATTCAAATTCAATAGAAAACAGAAAGTAGGAATGGTTGGGTTACAGAGGAGAAAGGAGGGGTAGGGCAAGTAGATTGTGGGTGTAAGGGGTTACAGAGTTTCAGTTTTGCAAGATGGAAGTAGTTCTGGATATCTGTCGCACAAAATGTGAATAGTACTCTAAGGACTACTAAAACGTAAAGACTTAAAAATGGTTAAAATGGCAAATTTATTATGTTTGTTTTTGTACGTATTTCTCCATACCACTTAAAAAATGGTTAAGAAGGTAGAATTTTATTGCGCGGGGGGGGATGTGGTCGTGTGTTGTGTGGTGAGCCACAGAGGGATAGCGTGTGTGTTTGTGTTTGTGAGGAGTGGAGTCGTGTGCGTCGTTGGCACCACAGGCGTGGGCGCAGGTGCAGTGGCGCGGATTCAGGCTCCCTGCACTGCCAGAGACCTTCACCTACGCTGGGGGTTCAAGTGGATTCTCCTGTCTCAGCCTGCCAAGTAGTGGAGGGAGTGTGAAGTGTGAGCGCGAGCGCGTGCACCCCGAGAGAGTGTGTGTGTGGTGCGTGTGTGTAGGTGAGCGAAGCGTGTGTGTGTGCCATGTGGGCAGGCGTGGTGCGTGGTGAAGTGCGGGGGTGAGAGAGTGGCGCGAGGCGTGGCCGGACGGCCGGCGTGCAGGGCGGCTCGCGCAGAGGAGTGCTAGGATTACAGGCATAAGCAATCGGTGCCCAGGCACAATTACTCTTTTTAAGAAAGGTACAATATTTCATATGGGGGAAAAAAAATCAGCAAGCAGCAGAAGGATATTTAAAAAAACAAAAAGCCCAGGCATGGTGGCTCATGCCTATAATCCCAGCACT